CTGCCTGCAGTCGCCGTGCTACGGGGGGGACGTTAAGGGAGAAGTTAGCACGGTGGTGATGTGCGGCGGTATTTATTTATTTTGGAAGCAAGGCTGTAATTAACCCTAAATAACAGCCCTTGCAGCGTGCAGGGGGCAGCCCGCTGGCCCCATCAAAGCGGGCAGAACGGGGAGTGACTGAGTGATGTGAAGTCGCAGATACTGAAACTATGTGCCTGATAATGATATAATTAGGGGATCACAGACTTCTGGCTGCTGTTGACTTCAAAAGCTTTAAGAGAAGCCTGCAGTCTCTCCTGTAGCCATCTTGACTAAAAGCAGACATTTTTCTTTAATAGCTACGTACAGTAACAAGAAAGAAGAGGGAACAGAAGGGCATTGTTCACCGTTTCAAAATACTAAATACCCTTTCTGGCCTTTTGCGTAGCACAGGAAGAAACTTTATGAATTGACAGAAATACAGTTTTAATACAGTAATACAAAGTCCATTCTGTTTCACCAAAAACGTGGCTTTAATTAAAAAGCAGTTGAATTGACCTGATGACTAGCCTGTCAGATTTTGTTTATAAGACTGTCTTAGGTCAATAAAATGTAGAATTTTAAGCGTGATTGTATAAACAGTTAAAATGGAAGTATGTGTGTTATTTCACTTTCTTCCTGTGCTAGGACTCATGAAAGGACTGTCAGCTCTGGTGCTGTTCCTTGTTTGCATCTTATTTTTAACTCATACAGTGAGAAAATCATGAAAATTATTTTTTCAGAGAGGGTAGGGGGAAGGTCTCACATGGAATGCTTAGAAAATAATTGAGTCTTCTTTCTATAGCACATTGGATGTCAGTGTGTGTGAATTAACAAAAAATTAGGTTACTTTGTCTAAAAGCCCAAGGGAATTGGATTGGAGACAGTGAGACACTCCATTTGGCTTCTATTAAGCAGAGTTAATAAAGAGCAGCGGGAACTTCAAGGCCTGGAGCCCACAGTAGCATTTTGGGGAAAGTATTAAGTAAGGTAGACCGAGGAGGGGAAGCTAACTTGGTTGGGATGGTTTTTTAATATCCTTCAGAATACTTTTGGGCATGGAGTGGTAGCAGGCGTCATAAGAAGGGGTGACAGCAGGGAGGCCCGTAGATTGATATTTGAAGTGCAGACTGTAGAAGGAAGACATTTGACAATTCAGTGGACTTTGAAAGCCTTGATGCCACTAGGATGGCAAGTATAGCAGGCACATTAGAAGTAGTTTTAAGTCCAGTCTTCCAAGGATGGCTCCAAAATCTGGCTTTCTCCTAAACCTTGGATTGGTGGCACATTGAATTATGTTTGAGTTGCAACTTGCCTAGAAAGAGTAAGTTTTTTTTCAGCACAGAACATGTATAATTCGTACCAGAGCAGTTTGGAGAGCACAAAATGAAGAGTTTTATGAAGGGAACTTTTTATCGCTTCCTTCAGAAATTTTTGAGGTTTCCTGAGAGATTTTTCATAGAGCCGGTAGAGGATTTTCAGTCCAAGTGTTTTGCCTTTTGACCGCATGTTGGATTGCATGCAAAACTGGGGGGGGGGGCAAGGGGGAGCTTTTAGCCTTGCAATTTCATCCCATTTAATAACTTTACATTTGAGTTGAGACATTGACTCTTGTCAAACAGATTAGTTATAAACTGCACTGTTTCTGTTTTATAATACTGATAAAAAACCTTTTTGCATGAATGGGTACCTAAAGAATTTCTCTCTTTCTGGAGAAATTACAAATCGTTGCCCAGTTTCACACAGTAAAAACCTTCCTGACTGGGAGACTTAGATGGTAATGGTTCTACCTAATAGCTTTATAAGGTGTTAGTTAAACCTTTTAAATTTTGGCACAGTATTGAGAGGTAATAAACAATTCAGCAGTTCTGATTTTTTTTTAATTTGTCACACAAATATTTAAACCTAGTATTTTTGTTGTGTGCTTATGCCCATTTAAAAGAAGCGTTACCTTTATGAAAATAGAATGCTATTCCAGTAGTAATTGTTTAAAACATAGATGTGACTTTCTTATAGGACTGAAAGTGTGTATTGGTTTTAAAACTGGGATTTCACTTTAAATGTGGTTTAATGCAACTGCTGACAGCGAGTGGAAGTAGCTATAAAATGGTCTTGTTAGTTATTTACCTTGGGGAAAAAAAGCTACTGTGACCTTCCTCGCGCCTCCCCCCTGTCCTGCCCCAATCCCTGTTTCAGTGAAATGCTCTTGCTTTAATTCAAAGGACTATAGTACTAGTAATTAAAACAAGTGCCCCAAGGCATTTGCAGGGATTAAGGTTACAATGAGGGTTGTATCAACTGTACAGTGATGGGAAGGAAACAACCCCTGCTCTCAAGGACTTAGTCTAGAGGGGTGCACCAAAACTGGCACTGAGTTTGGTTGTGTGATGCATGTGGCTAATAAGAGTATGTAGTGACATGTCCTTAAAAGACTAAATTCTTACCTCTCTTGCACAATTTTTATTTTTTAGGTGAAATCAGATGCTACTGTGATGCTGCACACTGTGTTGCAACCGGCTATATGTGCAAATCTGAGCTTAGCGCCTGCTTCTCCAGACTGCTTGATCCTCAGAATACACATTCTCCACTTACTCATGGCTGCTTGGACTCTATTGCAAGCACAGCTGATATCTGCCAAGCCAAACAAGCACAAAACCACTCTGGCACCACCACGATCTCCACATTGGAATGCTGTCATGAAGATATGTGCAATTACAGAGGACTGCATGATGTTTTGTCTCCTTCCCGGGGTGATACTTCAGGTAGGGCAAGGAAGCTTCAGTGAAATCTCTGTTGTGGCCATCAGGCTGATGACAGTCAAAACCTTGTATGTCTGCTATTGATTTAGTTGTTGATGTAAGTAGAGACAGCAGCAGCAGAGGGAGAAGTGGGTGGCTGGATGCAGGAGAGCATCTCAGCTGAGTAGCTTTTTTTGTCTGCGTTAATATTAGAGATCTGTCTTGCTAATTCGACATTGCCCCTAAGAAGCAATGGCAGTGGCATTCCTAGTTAAATCGGCTATCAGGGTAAGAAATTCCATATTATAACAGCCTTAGAAACTCCTGTTTTTCTTTATAGGAGTATTTTCTGTAGATACTGCGGAGCGTGTAGCTGTTGGTCCTTAAACTTGTCAGTGTGATGTTTAAGGGAGTTGCTTATATATAAACCAGTTGATACTGAAATAACCTTCACCTCTTTCACCTTTGCAGGACAAGGGAGCAGATATCAACATGACAGCATTTTTTATCTCATCACCAAGGTGCAGGAATTGAGCTCTTCGAAAGAGTTATGGTTCAGGGCAGCTGTAATAGCTGTTCCTATAGCTGGTGGGCTAATCTTGGTGCTTCTTATCATGCTGGCCTTGCGGATGCTCAGGAGTGAAAATAAGAGACTGCAAGATCAACGACAGCAAATGCTCTCCCGTTTGCACTATAGTTTTCATGGACATCATTCAAAAAAAGGGCAGGTGGCAAAATTGGACTTGGAATGCATGGTGCCTGTGACTGGTCACGAGAACTGCTGCATGACCTGTGATAAAATGAGACATTCAGACCTCAGCAATGATAAAATTCTTTCACTGGTCCACTGGGGAATGTACAGCGGACATGGGAAGCTGGAATTTGTATGACCGATATTTTTTTTTTTAATCTGAGCTAAACTTACTCTCTGAACTCTTGAAGGCCTTTGGGTTCTGCTGGACAGGAGCACTTTATTTTAAAACAAAAACTCTCATAAATCATTGAGAAACAAAGGACCTCTGCAAACAGAATCTTGGATATTTCTTCTGAAGGATTCCAAAAGTTGTCTTATTTGCACAGAGTAAAATACACTCAAATGTATTGTTTGCTTTAAATCTATGAAAGCAAAAATTAGAAGTTGTAAACACTGTCACCAGGGTTATCTGAACTGTAGGGAGCTGAGAACTGAGTTGTTATAATAAACTGTATGCAAGCTCCTATGTTTCCTGACTTATTGTAAAGATTTTTTTAAAATATATATATTTTGTCTGAAACTTGCTTGTGACTTTTGTTTTGGAAAACAATTTTTTTGGGGGGTGGTAGCAGGTTACAAATCAAGGTAGTATGCATGGTAATACTGTGCATAACAATTAGATTCTGAGAACAGAATCTCTTTTCCTACTCTGTGAGTGGAATTAGATAGTTATTCCAGAATGAAGGTGGTACCTTTATTATTTAATACTTCAAGTAGCAGTGAACCCACATCCTCAATTCTTGGCCATTACGTTTTGGTCATAACCTCAGTGAATTCTTTTGCTGCTTTGTGATAACTTTCTTCCTCATTGTTAATGAAGTGCTTCCTTCCCTCTGTGCAAAACACATCAGAAAGTGGCTCTTGATTCTTTATAGTGGGTTTTCCTCCCTTGTCTTACAACTATTGTTTTCCATGATCTTTTTTTCCTTTTGTACATTTTACTCTCAAATTTTTTTTTGGGGGGGGGGAGGGAAACCCCAAAGCCTACTCTATGTATATAATACTTCCCACCGCCCCACCCCCCTGCTGATAACCCCTCTGGGCACAGGGGAACACATCTGCCTTGCTCTTCTATACTGTAACTCAGTATCACATGCTGGTACTTTGGTGTGGGACTGAAGAATCAACAGTGTGCTTGCTTTAATCTCTGGCTCTACCTTTATTCTATTCTTGCATAGGTGGCTTTTCTTCCCTGCCAATTTTTGTGCGCTTAGTTGTTTCTTACTCCTTTGGCTAGTTGGCTTCACTTGATCATTTTTTCAATGCCTAGTTGCTAAAAACAAACAAAACCTCTGGATTATCCAAGGAGCTTATTGTATTTATTTTTCCTGCTTTGTTAGACTTTGTTGCAGTAATTAAAGTAACTTGCTTAAAAGGCAAATGCCACATCATGCTGCTGCAGAAGATAAAATTTGGCGAGAGTCTAGTATTCATCTATGCTTTAAATAGCCTTAGAAATGTGTCTGCCTCCTTTTCTTCTGGTTGTAAAGTTGCCACCTGTGAAAAGGGCGTGACACAAATGGGGTTACAACAACCTTGCAGCAATGCTCTGATGCTGTATGCTGCTTACTGTGGTAGATTGCTTTGGGCTATGCAGCCTGAAATGCAAAGGGCTGTCAGCCAGGGAACCCTGCTCCTCTAAGTCACAAGCTGGTGTTCCTGAAAGTGCACTTAAAACTATGCGGTAGGCTTGTTGGAGATAAGCTGGTCACTTGGCTGTGCAAACAGAGGTATTGGTATTGCAAGCTTACCCATGCAGTTGAATGCTCGTACTGGCCGAGTGCAGCGAGAACCTTGGGAATGTCAAGGTCCCACCAGACTTGTTTGCAATATTAAAGTGTAGTTCAGAAGGATTAGTTTCATCTCTGTACCTCAAGCTGCTGACCCTTCTTACTTCCTCAAAGTGCCTGGAGAGTCGCTTTTAATGCAGAGAGCTATGTTCTCTGATTTCTGCCTTTTTCTGCTGCTAAAGTTTAAGAAATGACGTGGCTGCAACTGCTATTGGAATCTGGCCTGTGGTCTTCTGGCTGACCTGTCGAAGTGCTGCTTTCCTATAAGAGCTCTGCCCTTCCTTTGCACTGATCTGAAAGTCTAGGGCAGTTGTCTGCTCTGCCAGGTGTATTATTTTTGGGAATGACTGGCTGGGAGCTTGGTGCTGAAAGAGGCAAACCTGAAATACTGTTTTGTCAGGCGTAGCTGCACCGGTCGATGACTAGACAAGTTAGAAGATCTGATAGCTAAACCTTGCAAGTACTTTCTCCAGAAATCTGAGGGAGCATGTTGTATAGTCATTTAAGTATCCTGTGACCTTCACCACTCATTTGCTGCTGATTTGAATACATAAGGGCCTATTTATGCTTGCCATTAAAAGGCTAGTAAGACCAGGATGCTCTAATTGGCCCCTTGCTGTGGAGATGTTTTAAAGAAGAAAAGAGATTGTCTGCCTTCCCCTGCAGTCCTGGGAGCAGGGCCACGGAGTCGCTGGGGTCAGGGCTGGGGTTGGCAGCTGCCGTCTCCTGGGGCTGGTTTGTTTCCTGGTGTTCGGGTGTTGTAGCCGATATGGGTTTCTGGGCTGTGAGTCTTCTAAGGATGAAATCTGGCTTTCCAATTTATTTTTAAAGCCCATATATTCAGGAAACTATGTTATGAGTTCTAGTGTCTGGCAGCAGCTTTGTGAGTTATGGATGAAGCTCCAAATCTTTTCACTGGAACTACTGACTGCAGAGTCCGAGGGGTGTTGGAGCAAGCAGTAGCCATCTGCATCGCTAGTGAGTATTTCTGTAGTGGCAGCTTATGTTACCTGCAGACCTCAGCAACACCAGCTTTCCATTACAGTTTTTAGAAAACTGGTATTCCTGTGACAAGGAAGGACCTTAGTGATGTTCCATAGGCTTCCCAGCTGCTGGGTGCTGTGCCAGCGTGGAACAAGGCAGTCCTGGACACCCATTGCATGCAACCTAGTGAGGCAGGGAACAAACATTAGCCGAGGAGCCTGGCCGTAGGCTGGAGGCTGAAGAGGTGAGATAGTAAGCGATGGCTATCCTTTTAAAATGCATTTGACTTAGGAGCCTGGATTTGTCATTGTGCTAGGCACTCTCAGATTTCCCCTGCAGACAATAACAAACACTCCTTTCTTTGAAACCCCTGCAAGCCCTGAAGTGTAAGGAGGACAACTCTCTATTTCTAACTGAACAAGTCTCTCAGATTGGAACAAATGAAATCAAACATCCAAGATGTAATTTAGTGTCCCCTGTGCCTCTCTCTTTCTCTGATTCTTTCCTCAAAACAATAATGGTTGTGGCTTTCCTTATGGCACTGCTTCTCCTGGCTTTGAGAGCCGCTGGGTTGGTATGTCTCC